CCCATGGCAGGGGGGTTGGAACTAGATGATCTTTAAGGTCCCTTCCAACCCAAACCATTCTGTGATTCTATGAATCAAGTTTAGGCAAAGGCAAATAACAGCACATCAGGTCTTGCTCCTACACCCAGGTAAATGACCACCTACCCCTCTTTCTGTGCCAGCAGCCCAGAATCGCACATTCCTGGTCCCCCCGGTCCCACAGAGCCCTCCCGCTGGGCCATCGGTAGCGCGCGGAACCACGCGTACTTCACGTGGGAAGAGAAATAATTACCCAGTGAACGGGCTAGTGACTGTTCGAAAAACAGCTTCTACGCCAAAAAGGATTCCAGTGGCCAGGGGAAAGCAGAAAACCAGGACACAGAAACTGTAAAGTATCAAGATTTTATTGTTTTATATATAGACTTTTAATTCTTGAACGAGACGGTGTTGTTCAGAACGGCAGCAAGCAGAAGGTACACGTGGAGAAAAGTGGCAGCGCAGGTAACTGTTTGGCTAATGCCCGTTCATGTACAAGGCGTACACTGGAGGTTTTTTTTTTTTGAGCACCTTTTTGTGGTTGTTTTTTCTTGGTTTAAGTGTACAGTAAGGCAGTGGTTTTTCTATACGGAATATATATATATATTTATATTTATATATATCTTCAATCATCACCGTGAAGTCTGACATGCAAATTAAATAAAATGTACAACTTCATGTTACAAGGGTAGACGTTTTTCCCCCAGCAAAGCTTCTAAGAAAAGGCAAATACGGACACCACAAAGTTAAAAAAGAGAAGGAAGGCGTAAATCCGACCGGCAGGCGCTACTGGCGGGACAGCTTGAGCGGGGAAGATCGGGATTCCAGTGAAGATTTCTCCCGCTGCTGGCAAGGCGAGAAGGAAGGGATGGTTATTAACAGATGTCTCCAGCCGGCTCCCTCGGGAAGGTTCACTCTAACCTGAGAAGCTCCACGTCAAAGAGGAGAGTAGCATTGGGAGGGATGACCCCAGGGTGGCCTGTGGCTCCGTAGGCCATCTCGGGCGTGCAGGTCAACTTCGCTCTTTGCCCTAAGCTCATCTGGGTTTTGGGTGTTGGAGAAAGGAGAAGAGAAGACAAAAAGAGCAGGATTAGGAGGAAAACCAAAACAAAGCACTACGTGGCGGATTTACAGAATGGAGGAGAATTGGGACCAACGGATTCATCTTCCAGCCTCAAGGTGAAGCTGCCACCGACAGCTCAGACGAGTGTTTCCCAACTCCTGGCTTCTCACGGCGGTTGTTTAAGTTGCCTGAGCTGGCCTGGGAGTCAGGGAGAGGCTTTGTGACACACCGTTTGGTCCACGCTGCCTCGGCTGGAGCCAGCTGCGGGAGGCGCGAGGTCCTTCTGCGGGGCACTGGGTACGTGTAACGCCACCAGCGGGGTGTTAGGAAAAGGCTCTGGGCGACAGACAGGCCTGGAGCTTTGTATCAGAGAGAGCTGAGACGCCGTTGGGTCCTGCCTCTGAGAAGCGTTCAGCAAGATTCTTCCTTTGTCAGCCGCCGGCGGGAACGACCTCAGAACCACTGCTCAAGCGTCAGGACTGCAGGCGCCCAACGTTCTCTGCTGGCCAGGTCACAGCAAACACTGATGCAATCCTAACTCAAACAGGTACCTGTTGCCCTAAACTCGGCCCGAGGGCAGACGTCTCACCTCAGGTGCTGCTTATTCCAGGAAATTTTTGCCCCTGGGATGGGCAGATAAGCTGATTTCTGACCAGACTTGCCCTGGAGGAAACAGTGCTCATCACGATTCGGGGTACCGAGACTGAAATCCCTGCTCTTCCAACGGCATTTTGGGGTTAAGGGCTCTCAAGCTGCTACTCAGGCCCCGCACACGGTGGCTGAATAGTCACTGGCTGAGCACAATCCCTGACTCGGAGCCGTGATTTTAACTCTCACCTCTCTCCCAAGATGGGGCACATCACTGGGCTGCAGATGACGGAATCGGTTGAATTGTTTCAGATCCGATGAACTACACCAAAGCTAGAGCTTTGATGGCTTTAGGTAGAAGAAAAACGCGACCGTGAACTTCCCACGTTCTGGAGCGCTGGTGTCGTGGGGCCGATGACCTCCCCAGTCCCCGCAGGGGTTTGCATGGGGCAGGCCGCCGGCTGCTCCGGCAGCTGGGAACTCGCGACGGGTTTTAGGGCGCAGGGCAACCTTGAGCTGTCAGAAGCGGAGCACAGAAACGCAGACGCTGCTGACCCCGGACAGTCATTAACTCCAGGGCTGAGAACGCTCCACGCTAGGCACAGGGGGCTGCCTTTTGCCAAGGGCCTCGGTCAATCCCGCTCCCCAAACCCCCTCAAAACCCTGGGGTGGAAGAGGAGGGCCGCAAGCTCGACTTCAGCCAGCCATCACTAGGAGGAGCAGGAGGGCAACGCGTGGCCTCGCTGACCACTGGAAATGCCACTTACTGGGGGACAGGAGTCGGGAAGGGATAAACTGATTCAGCAGTTCCACCGCTTTATCCACACCGGCTTCCGGTTCCTACAGCACACTGGGGGCTGAGCTCCTCTTAGGCCTTCTGGCAAAGCAGCTAACACAGCGTGCCCAAAAACCCTGAGAGGAAGGTGGGAGTTTTTCCATCTAGGATTCCTCATTTTTCAGTCTAGGATTCCTCAAACAGACTTCTCTGGCTGGAGAAAAGGGAATGCTTGCTTTGCTTTTTCCATACGGCTGGAAGGCATTTTTTCTTCCAGCCCCTTTGGAAAAGCATGGTCGCATTATTCCTCAGTGGATTGTTTCTCACTGTGCATTCTTCCTTTCTATTTAAGCATAAGAAGTTGTTCCTATGATAACACCTGGGCAGTTTCCTCCTGCGCTGAGCTCTAGGGCCTGAAACGGGAAGTCAGGAGGAGTTTGCTCCCGGCTCTCGTTCACTCCTGCCCTCGAGCAGCCTGATCACGCTCCTCATGGGGGGGCCCCTCGCAACACTGCAGACAAAAAGGGAGAGCTGGCGATGAATCGCCCCGTGTGGCTCTTCACAGAATCACAGAATGGTTTGGGTTGGAAGGGACCTTAAAGATCATCTAGTTCCAACCCCCCTGCC